GCACTCCTGGTGACTGGGTGGGCTCCAGAAAACTGTTGCCGTCTAGTTGGCCCTGCTTGTGTTGGCTCCACGTGTCTAGAGTAGAACTGTATTTCATACAATTTTCTTTGGTTGATTTCCCAGAAGTAGATCACCGGGCCTTTGTCTTAAAGTTCATCTGGATGGGCTCAAATCTCCAACCAGTGGTTAGCAGCCAAGCAGATGCACTGTTTGCATCACCCAGAGTATCCCCCTATTGGGTAACCTGCTCTATTCTGGCATTCAGTATTAAGCAGTTACTGCCGACATAAACTGCCTGTTTCATTACCTGGGCGTCTTAATCCCCATCTACCACTTCTTTGTATATTTTTCTTTTCAGAACACAGGTGTTCATGAAGGGTTCAAAGATACCAAATCTTCTGCAGGGGCATTGAATTATTTAATACAGGTCTCCTAGCCAAAATCGCTGTAATTTCCACCCAGCGAACTTTTTCTAAATGAGTCTGGGTAAGAAGGTACGGGAAGATCCTGATAGGATTTACCTGTAGCGGTTAATAGGATTCATTGTGATTGTCATCCTGTTGGGTATAAAGTGTCAGCATAAGCCCTTTGGGAAGCAGGTGTGGGAAGCGGAGGATGGGTAGCAATCTCACTACCAGTGAGAGCCAGGAGTGGAGTGTGTCTTCTGGCCCTGAAATCCCCAGAGAACCACTTAGATCTAGAAGACAGCTGTGACATCAGAGCAGCAGCACCAGAACCAGGAGTCAGAGCTGGAAATAGCAAACGCAACCCACACAAGTCAAGCTGAGTGCTTTGGGGCAGGAGGTGGGCTTGTAGAGCGGGTTGCCTCTGAGCACCAAATTGGGGGAGCTGAGTTTGCTGACCCAAGGAACTGGAGCTTAGTGGCTCTTCAGGCTTATAGCAGAGTGGCATGCCCTTTGGGCTTTTATTAGCAGCTCTGAAAGAACTTTGTGACATGTCCTGACTAAACAACTATAACCTGAGCATTTCTCACCTGCACTGTGACCTGCGGAGTTCTAATGGCCATTGCAATGAATTACATATAGAACATAGATAGGAGTGCTGTGTGACAGACCACATTTTACTTTCTATTATTTATCAGATTATTTTTCTATTATCTTATGTTCTTGAGAAGCTAATACTCTTCTTCCTGGTGACTCGTCCTTGGTGGAAAGTTTCCTCATATGGTTTTATAATTTTTCACTGTAAATTCATCCAGGCAAGCTTGGTTTTCTGTGGGATGGAGTGAGATTCTGGAAACTAGTACCCCCAAGTTCGGAATGATCTTGTGTTCCTTAGGTGCCTGAGGGGTCCTTCTTGCCTGGGATCAATTTTTTACACTAATTACCTATCACGGGGTTTCCTCCACGATCCTATCATCTGAAATTTAGGCTCTCAATCAATGCAGGTTGCAGGCTAGTGGCTCAGAACCACTAGGACCAGACATTATTGCTCCTTCTGTAAGCAATCATATTTTCGTCTCTCAAGCTTTTGGCTTCTTGTGGAAGCCTTGTCTAGTAGGTCTCCTACTCTGTCCCCACATAAAAGTAAGGCCCAGATCACAAACATTAAGCTTGGGACTATGACTATTACCTACAGCATAGTGTCACTATATTGCTCAAACGAATTTGTTAGTATTTTTCTGGAGTGCATATATTAACAGGCCAAATCTACTTCCACCATGCCATCTCGGGGCTGGTTGGCTCTGGTTTTCCGGTCCAGGCATTGCTACAGCCTCCTTATTTTGTTATCTTGTCATGTTTTAGCCTGAAAATAAGAACCACCTTACTCAGTAAAGCTAGGAGCCCTGGTGGTGCGGTTGGTTAACCCCAGACTGCTAACCATAAGGCTGGTGTTTCGAACCCCTTATCTACTCCACAGGAAAAGACAGGGCTATCTACTCCCCAAAAGCTTTAGTCCCAGAAACCACTATATAAGATTATGAGTTGGAATCAACTCAATGGCAGCAGCTTGGGTATCTAGAAATATTGGGGAGGTAATATATTTGACTTACTTTAACAAATTTTCCCAATGATTTAGGTTTTCTTTCTTCTTCAATGTTAATTTCTAAGAGTGCTTTAAGATTTCCAAATCTAACACAATAATGTAATACATAATCCACTATGCGCCTGCTCACAGTGGCCCTACAGAGGGTACCTGAGCCCATAAATCTTTATAGGAGACCTGTTTGGAGTGTAGTGAGGAACTGCTGACCTTTTGGTTGGCAGCCGTGTAATACATACAGTATAAAACATCACACCCTCACTACCCAGTTGCTTCCATCTCGTAGTGACCCACGGGGCTGAGAAGTCCCTCGTGGAATTTGCAAGGCTGCAATATTTGTGGGAGCAAACTGCTACATCTTTGAACCACAAACTTTTCAGGTGGCAGCCAAGTAAGCTGATATACAAGGGGAGGGACTTCACAAAGTTTTTTTGAAAAATAGAATGAAAAACTTTCCATGAACTTTTGAAGTCTTCTTTGATGGAGTCTAAAAAGCCACTCCTTGTGGGTCAATTCGAACTCACAGCCACTCCGACTGGGCTCCCAAGGTGGGAAACTGTTATAAGAGCAGAGAGCCTGGTCTTTCTCCCTTGGAGTGGCTGCTGGCTTTGCACTGCTGACTTTTGGGTTCGTGAAATCTCCCCTCAATTAATCTCCAAGGTTGTTTTATACACTTCTTGGCCTTACCACAGCTGTTTAAAAAAATTTTTTTTAATACTTTCTTGCTAACATTGTGGATGGGAATAGGGTTTCCCTTCCAGTATTCAATAGGAAAGTAAGCCCAGCAGAATAAGATCGGTCTTGATTTGACATCAAATCAAGTTCTAATGCTGATTCCTACCCTTAAAGTAAGTGAAGACTCTTTAGACTCACCTAATTTAAAAATTTGGTGAACACTTATCAACTTAGCTAAAAATTTTTTTGCAAATTAATGAAATTTCCAAAAATGGGTCTAAAAACTTGAAATTACAAGGTGTGTCGGGCAATAAGCATGGAATGTCCCCTGCTGCCATTCCCTGAGTGGCCTCCTACTCAGATATGCAAAAGGAATAGGAAAAGTAGACTCCAGAATTCAAATAATTACAAGATGGGGATTACTTGTACTTAAACTTCTTCTGAAAACCTTTTATATTTTCAATTTATTCAGATGCATAGTTTTACCGTATCTTAGAATGTTTATAGTAAGATTGTTTTCACAAGATACATAAATCCATGGGACTCACATGATCAGAATTCACTTTATTTTCATGTCTTCTGCATTATGTAGTCTTTATAAATATGCCCACCATATTGTGCCTGACAAATAGCAACCATAGAAGTTTCTTTTCACGAATGGCCATAATTTTTCTTTCAAAATCTAAAATTAATGATAAGCTGTTTTCTCTCAGACTCAACCCACACCAATTGATACACCAATACAATGAAAAATAAGACAGTTGTCTCCAGAGATTTAATGCAGGGTGCAGTGTAGCTACGTTCCATGAAATGCGCTTATCTACTGCGGGCTTGGGGGCTGTGGACAGTCATAACCCGACTGAATCAAACAAATGAAACTACAGCAATATAGCTCAAACTTAATGTAAATATACTTTTGTTCCTCATTGCTATCACAATTTGAAAATTAAGGTTTCTTGTGCTTTTTCTACTTTAGCTTATACACGAAATATAGATGACACATGAAAAACTACTGACGTATAAGCTCTAAGTAATTATCTTTAGTTACTAAAAGCCTTTTTTTTCTTTTTCCACCTTCCAATTTTAGATGGAAAGACTGAAACTTTGGTACATCAGTAACTTATTTCCATGCGAATATTTAAAGGATATTATTAGTATTCACCAACGTTGTGTAGTCTTTTGGTAGAGGGGTGGCAAAGGGCTCTTTGCTCTCAGTAAGTGCTCTGGGCTGATGGATAAACACGCTAAATTTAACACCCTGGTTGTTAGCAGCTCTGACAAAACCACTATTGGCCGTCATGGTGATGGCTTTCAAGGTATCTCCTGTTCCAAAAATGGTTAATGAGCGGCTATTGATTTTCGAACTAGCCACCAGTCTCAAGGCACGCTCAGAAGGCTGGTCTGGTACTACATGGATTCGTTTAATTAGCAGAGTGGCCCTCTCTCGCTCCCCAGGTCCTCCTAAGGTATCTAAAATAGACTGGAAATCTTTAACAGCAGATTCACAAGCAAACAGTTCCTTGTCCTTCATAAACGTCTCCAGCAGAGGCAGAACCTGCTCTTTCCTCTCCTGCTCGGCTTGTTCTGTGAGGACTTTTTCTTTGAAGATAAAGTGGCAGCCTCCATAACTGAGGGCAGATACATATGTAATTAAAGTAGTAATGTCCAGATTGACTCTTTTGCACACATCGACCTTAATCTCTGTTGGAAAGGCCACACTTGCTAGTATGTTTGCGCGGTCTACTCTGGTCACCTGCAAAAGTTCAGGGCCCTCATCATCGGATTCACACCCACTCAGCTGGAATTCTTCTGGATTATCTAACAGAGAGTTAACTGCCACGATGTCTCCTCTCACAGATATGCCCATTTCTTGCAGTTTCTCGGCCATGGGGCTGGAAACACTGTTGTAAAATGCAAAGATAATATGAGGGTTGCTGTACTGCACTGGCTGCTGGTGACTGGCCTGCAAGAAGTCTTCAGCCTGCTCAATGATGCTTTTGTCACCATACTGGCCCCTGCCCAGCCAAATGTTATGCAGAGCTTCAGCCTTGCGGCCAATGGCCTTCACCCAAGTATGACCACCATTTGCAACGACATCCACCACCAGGGTCTGCTTTTCTCCCAAGGTATCTGTGTAACTAAAGACATGAAGAACACTGACAACTTCTTCCAGGTTTTCTGCCGATTCCACGATGGCTCTTAAGTGTGTCAGATTCGTGCTCTGTAAATGAGATTCCTTAATAGCTACTTTCCCAGCTTCCACTTTTTGTAAGAATTTTAATTCAGCCTTCAGTTTGCTGCACAGCTTCGCACCACCTTCGATGCCCCCTTTTCTGGATCTAGAAAGGGATTCTGCTCTCTCGATGAGCTCCTTGGCTAGGGCTATTCGCTCACAGAGCATGGAGTGGGCAGACATGCTGCTTGCATTCTTCCTTTCCTCTGAAAAGAAAAAGAAACAAGGCAGATTTGAACCCTCCTCAAAGACCATGGCAATCAATTCCTCACTACCGATTAAAACTTTCAGTCTCTTGTTTAGGGTACACAAGAGACCCCATCCCAAATAGTATTTAAAGAGAAGATTGATTCTTAAGGAGTCCATCTCGAAAAAGATTGCTTGGAAACTGATTGTGTGGTAGTAATTGTACAATTCCACTTGATGTGATTGAAATATGGCATGATATGACATATGTATTATATCCAACCAATTAAAAAAAGAAAAGAGACAAAGTCAACAGAAAGACACAGACACATCATTCAGATGAAGGAGCCCACTAAAACAAGGTTGAAATGGCATGCCGGGGTTCGTTGAGATACCAAGCTTTGAAAAGGGCCGGGATGGGCAAAGAAACTGTCACAAAAGCATGAATGGTGGCAGATCAATACATCCCAGTTGCAGGTGGGCCTGCAGAAGCAGGAACGGAACATGACTGGGACCTGTACACTGTTGGATAGAAAGGCTCACAAGAAAGGTTTGGACAGGGCCTTCTGACCAAGGCTCCCAAACGCAAACTCACTGCCATTGAGTCACTGCTGACTAAAGGCGACTCTACAGAGCAGGGTAGAACTGCTGTGGGATCTGAGAATGTAATTCTACAGGAGTAGAACACCTCATCTTCCTGCACCATCAGGCTGGTGGTTTTGAACTGCTGAGCTCACAGTTAGCAGCCGAAAGGGCCACTACACCACCAGGGCTCCTCAGACGACCAAGGCAATCAGGGCAAAACTCATGACTATTCGACCCCCAGTACGGTCACTTTCATCAAGGACAAACCTAGGCAATTGCCTACCAAAGACTGCCCCTCCCTGAGCAGCCAGCGAAGGGTGGAGGCAACCCATCCTCCAAGGCATTCTGCCTGAAAGTAAGATTATCTCACAACAACCAAAAAACCTCATGCTTTCAGATGAATTCTGACTCATGGTGACCCTATAGGGAAGGGTAGAAGTGCCCCTGTGGCATTCCGAGACTGTAACCCTTCATGGGAGTAGAAAGCTCCATCTTCCTCCTTCAAAGAAGCTGGCGGTTTAGAACTGCTGACCTCGAAGTTAAGCAGTCCATGGAGGAAACACTATGTCACCAGGGCTCCTGATTATTTACATCTTTGGTTAATGATCAGAAAGCTCAATCTATGTGGGGAGTCTGTAAATGGAGTTTGAACTGCCAACGCCATTCACACCCTTTTGCTAACCAGAGTGCTCAGAAGTTCTAATACATTATCAACGAAAGAGCTGTTCCTCTGTGGAGTCTGTGAACGTGGTCTGAGCTAAGGAAATCATGAGTTGGAGCTTTTAACTCTTCTTTAGGATTCTAACACATCATTGTCCCTCGTCTGTTCTGCTTCTAGGCTATGGAGTCCACCACGGAGTGGTAGGCCCGCGGTTAAAATGTCACAGGTCTGGATAAACTGTCTGGTAGACAAGGAATCTCCCTGTGCCTATCCGCAGTTTAAATGCTTGCTGTAGGTTGATGCTCATGATCACATGCTTAAAGAAAAATATTCACACACGTTGGCCAGTAAGGAAATTGTCCAAAGCAATTGTGTCCCTGCTAACTAAAGTGACCACCATTAGCTGGTCTACCCTTTCCTCCTCCCGCAACGGATCTCTTTTAACCAGCTGCCAGGTGATTTCCCGCGGGGCGCACCCTAAGGAACCAAGATCGCCTCCTGTCTGCATTTAACGTCAACCCAGCGTATTTCCAAGGACCGCTCACTCCCACTCCCAGTGAAAGACCACAGGAAAACGCATCTACACGCCGACATCCCTGCACGCGTTCGCCGGGCCGGCAGTGTGGGCGCTGGGGACCTAAGTCCGCGGGGCCTTCCGGGTGCACACGCTCCTGGGGACCTACCCCGTGCCCCTCCACCGCTGGGTCCACCTGGCAGGACGCGGTAACCGAACGCCGCGGTTCGTGCAGGGATGAAATGCCGGGCGGAAGAGAGCCCCCGGGCGGGGCGCCAACACCCTCCCCGCCGGGCCCGGGCCCCGAGGGGCACCCGCGTCCCCTCCCGTCTCCGCGTCCCTCCCTCCCCGGCTTCTCACCGGCAGCGCCCGGGAGCGCGAGCGGGAGCAGACGCGCGCGTGCACGCGCCCCGCTGGGCCCGCCGGGGCCCGCAGCCCCCACCTCCCCGGGCCCCGAGGCTGCCCGGCGCGCCGCCGCCCCGCACCTCCGGCGTCCCAGGTTTCAGGCCGGCCGACGCGGAGCCCGCGAGTCCCAGGCGGCTGCGCGGCATCGGTACCCGGGCTGAAGCCGAGGCAGCCATGTTTGTTGAGGGCACCGGCTTGGGCTCCGCTGACGCCGGAATGAAAGAGCCCGGAGGCGTGCCCGTCTGCCTCCAGGGCTGGGAGCGGAGGTGGGTTCCGGGGCTAGACTCAGCCCTGGAGGTACGGGCTGCGCCCTGGTTCAGGGTTCCCTCCTCGCTGCTGGTGCTTGCCTGGGGTGCTATTGGTGGGAGCATCCCGGTTGTGCCCAACTTCCGAGCACCAGTACACCTACTTTTGTTCTCACGCCCATCCCTCCTCCACTGAGTGTTGGTAGATTTTGTATGAAAACGTCTTAGTGTATTATCACAGAAGAGGAAAGACCATACAGTTAGTAAATGGGGGACCGGAATTGACCAAAGTACTTTCAAGTATACCTGCTGGCTGGCCTAGTGTATTATTCCTTGGGCTGCTAACTTTAAAGTTAGCAGTTTGAAACCATCATGCGCTTTTCGGGAGAAAGACAGGGTTTTGCATTCCCATGAAGTTAGTCTCCAGGGCCAGTTCTGCCCTGCCCTACAGAGCTGCGATGAGTCAGCATCGATTGGATGGCAGTGTTTAGTGAGAGGCGTTCAAAGGAAATTTGATATGGCAGAGATGTTCTAAAGAGGCCCAAGATCAATGGCTTCCGAAGTCCCTTCAAATATCTTTAAGAAAGTAAAGTTCATTTTAAAATTTTAAGTGGAAATCAATCCGATGTATGCCTGCTTCTTCTCCAAACCTTACTGAAACCCAGTAAGGAAATGGGAGGAGGCACACAGACAAATGAGAGATGAATGCAGAAGAGGACGAACCATAGTTAATAATTCACATCCTCACTGCTATGAGCCAGCATTATTCTAAGTGCTTGATTGCTGGCAGTTGCCCGGGAGTCCAACTCAGGGCCCTCCTGTGAGCAGCAGCGTGGAGGACACCACAGCTGTGACCTTTCAGAAACGGTGCGGCCCAACTATCCCTGTTAAAAATTGAGGGCTTAACAATTTGGTGCAACTCATATTTATCCCATCCACTAAACAACCGAAATGGGTCTCTTACAGGTGGGGCAGCTGGGAAGGGAGCAGTTTGAAGAAACAAAGGAGTCTAGAACCAGTTCCTTCAGATTCAAAAGACATTGCAGTCACACAAACATAAGGATTAAAAAATAAATAAAAAAGAATGGAAAGAATATGAGTTATTTGAAATTAAAAATAACCCAAGCCTTAAAACACTAATAGAAGAGGTGGAAAAATGGGGGTGATAGGAATCTACTCGAAAGTACAATAAAAAAGTGTAAAGATGAACAAAACAGCAAAAATATAAGAAAAGATTTTAGCATCCAATTAGTGGGAGTTTCAGAAACAAAACCCAAAGAAAATTAAAGCGGAAACTTCACAAAGAAAATAGGCCACAACTGAAAGATATTTGTTTCTGCAGTGAAAGACTCTACTGAGTGCTTGGCACATGAATGTTAAGAAACCACATCAAGGCAAATATTGTGAAATTTCACAACAATGAGGATGAGAAGATCCCACAAAATCCAAGGGGAAAAAACCTATGAAGAATTTGGCATCCCTCTCATGGTCACAAGGGACGAGGCAGCCAGGCTCAATGTAGCATGGATGAAATACACACATTCCTCTGGTTCTTTAATGCTTCCTTGCCCCCAACTATCATGACCCCAGTTCTGTCTTACAAATCTGGCTAGCCCAGAGCATGTACACTGGTACAGATAAGAGGTCTCAACACACAGAATCCAAGACAGATAAACCCCTCAGGATCAATAATGAGTAGCGATACCATGAAGGTAGGAGGAGAAGGTGGGAAGCTATTCGATGTACAGCCCCCTCGCCTCCCCCCACTATCCTCACCCCCACCCCACAACCTACCAAGGATGAAAAACAGAAGCGTGGGTAAAGGGAGACAGCGAATAGTGTAAAATATGAAAATAAAAATAATTTATAAATTATCAAGAGTGCGTGAGGGTTGGGGAGAGGGGAAAAAAAGAGAATCTAATACCAAGGGCTCAAGCAGAAAGAAAATGTTTGGGAAATGATGATAGCAACATATGTACAAATGTGCTTCATACAATGGATATATGGATTACTATAAGAGCTGTAAGAGCCCCCAATAAAATGATTTGTTAAAATTAAAAAATAATAATTTGGCTATCACATACACAACAGCTGAAGGCTTCTCTTCAGCAACGTTGGACTTTCGCAGGGAGTACAGTAATGCTTTCAAAATGCAGCCAGGGCGAGGGGAATTAAAGCTTCCAGCGTGCCTGGACTGGAGTAGGAGGGCAGTGTGTTCCCCAAGAGAAACTTCTCGGAGGGTGGTAGGAGGCTTAAGGAGAACGCTGTTAATCACCTGGTCTTTGACCCTGAGGAAAATACAATTTTGTTAGGGAATCTGGCAAGAAACTTGGATAGCCACAGAAAATTAAGCAAACAAAAAGTGAGGCAATTCCAGCTACCCTTGTGTCACACTTCACTGCTACTGCATGTGGGTTGTCAAGGTGTAAAATAGATTTTTAAGAATGGTCATCAATGTGACAGGTTGAATAATGAATGATAGTTGATGTGAGTAGGTGCACAGGAAAGAAAAGATAGTGGTAACAGAATTCAGGTTCTCATCTTACCAAAAGATTTACTTTTGGAAGACATAGGCATCACAAGATAATCTTATGAAGAAATTCCTGAGGAAGAGGAGCCGTGGTGGCAGAGTGGGTAAGTGTTGGGCTGCTGGTCACAAGGTCAGCAGTTCCAAACCCCCAGCTTCTTGGGGAGACAAACTTTCTACTCCCATAAAGTGTTGGAAACTCACAGGGGCAGTCTGACCCTGTCCTACAGGATCACTGAGTTGGCTTTGACTTGATGGCAGTGAGAAGAAAAGGCCAGCCTTGCTGTTTTCTGACTTTCCGTACACACACCCAAAGGGCAAATTCATCACCATCCAGTCAATTCTGACTAATGGCAACTCTAGCAGTGTAAACTGCGTCTTTTTATGTTTGACTGTTATTCTTTGCAGGAAAAGAACTTTCCCCTGCATTAACAGGTGGTGGTTTGGAACTATGAACTTGTGGCTAGCAGAGCAACTCACATTTATACTCATATTCACACTCAGCTTTTTAAAGGGTCTGCACATAAATTCTCAGGAACATCTGCTGGGTTAGCAAGGGGTTCTGGGAAATGTAGTCTCAAGCTATTATCAGACTGCTGGCATAGTATCCAAATTTCCATGTTTACTCCCTTGCCTGCCTCAGTAAGGGTGGCTTAAGAGCTTTTACTCAACTTGCAGAACAGAACAGTGGCCAATCCATATGAAGAGGTACCCTGGTGGCAAAGTGGATTATGCACCGAGCTACTAAGGGCAAGGCCAGCAGTTCAGACCCACCAGGAGAGAGGTTTGCTACTCTTATAAAAGTTTAGTCTTGCTTGGGAAACCCACAGGGATGGTTCTATCCTGCACGACAGGGTCTCTATTAACAAAATTGGTTTGATGGCAAGGAGTTTGGTTTAATCTATGAATTTGGAAATACCTTTGCACTATTTTGACATATGGAAGCAAGGACCTTAAAAAGTTAAGTGATGGCTTTTGGAGAGAACGTTCATGTCCTTGTTATTAAACTTCTCAAATATGCTCATGCTTAGGAACCAAACCAAATTCCTTGTTTGGAATTCCTCCCAATGTGCTATGGAGTTAATTCCAACATCTCTCTCCTGCAGAGCGGGTGGTGGGTTCACGGCCGAGCACTTGGACCCCTGCCCCACTGGCTTTGTACGGTGGCTGCGGAAGCTGAGGAGCCGGAACTGAGGGACGCTCAAGAGGCAGGATATTCATGGGCACATTTTAAGCATTTTTTCTACTTCCTGTTGAGAAGAATTGCTTTGCAAATATGAACTCAATCGTTCAGTGAAGAACCGGGACGTGAAAGGATAGAGAACATGGAGATGAAGCTTGTAAGGGTGGACAGACAGACTCAAAAGCAGGAAAGGCTAAGAACTTTAGAATTATCATCTTCAGTAAGATTAAAAGGGAGTCTGGTAGTGGAGTGGCTCCATGGTGGGTTAACAACAAAGTTGCCAGTTTGAACAAGCCTCTTGGAAGGAGATAGATGAGGATTTCTACTTCCCTCAGAAACGTACAGGGCCTGTCCTACAGGGTTGCTATGAGTAGGAACCGCCCTGATGCCAGGGACTGAGGAGCTGTAGGCCAGAAATGATTCAAGAGCTTTGGGACGTTTATAGATTCAGTGGGTTTCTATCTCAAAAAACTGACTTTCCCAAGAAATGAGTTTAGCTAGATGTTTAGAAAGTGTAACATTGTTATAAGTAAACATTTAAGAGAATGAAGAAACTGAAAATAGAAATGTTGTAGTCTACTTCAGTTGGGATTGAGGTTTAATAATGAGAGAAAAATTACAGAATCAGGACTGAAATCTCTGTTTTTACCCTTTATATCAGTTGAATCCTAGCACTCATAGGAAATTGAAACATGCACTTTCCTTTTTCTGGAAATACATTTGTATTTATTTTCCCTTTGTCTTCCTCAGATTTTTTGTTGGACATTAAAAAGGGCCTCAGCTTGGTGGGTTACACATTGGATAGCTAACTGTTCAAAGCCACCAGGTATTCTGGGGGAGAAAGATGCTTTTCTATGCAGGTTCCAGTATTGGAAACCCACAGGGAATTTTACCGAGCTACTGAGTAAGGATCAATCTGATGGTAGTGAGAAGCAAACTGAGGCAGCTAAACTTCAGTTCCTAACATTATCCTTATCACACCTCCCCATGACAATCAAGTTGAGTCCTTTGAGTGTTCTTGATCACCAAGCTTGTAAATGGGAGGTGTAACAAGAACCAAGGCTTACCTGACTCCAAAGTCCACTTCTTTTTACTACGGTCTATTTGTAGTGAATCCATAGTGTAAGATAAAGCTTCAAGACAATTGAACATCTTAAAATAGGGGATGTTCCAGTGATGGTAGATAGATAGAATGAGAAACCTCCTAAAATGATCCCAAAAGGCTCTACTCTTCTGAACCTAGTAAACTCTTAAATTACCCTTGGCCGAAGAGTCAAGCTAATGACTTGTCTTTTGTTACTCTAGGATGTTGTAAAACAGGGGTCCTCAAACTATGACCCGTGGGACACATGCGGCCCGCTGAGGACATTTATCTGACCCGCCAGGTGTTTTTGCCGCTGTTGCCTGTCCTGCTTAGCAGCCGACTCATCCAGTGTGCATAGGAATTTGTTCATAGTTTTTTTTTAACTATAGTCTGACCCTCCAACGGTCTGAGGGACAGTGAACTGGCCCCGTTTAAAGTTTGAGGACCCCTGTTGTAAAATATCAAAAACACTTAAGAACATACCCTCATACAGAATGAAAGCAGAATTTAGATACCCTATAGCTTGAAGGAGCCCTGGTAACATAGTGGGTTATGAGTTGGGCTACTAACTGAAAGGTCAGCAGTTCAAGACCACCAAATGCTCTAGGAACAAGATCAAACTTTCACTCCTGTAAATAATCTACAGCCTCAGAACCCCAGTTCAATCCTGTCCTGCAGGGTCACTATGAATCAGAATAGACTTGATGGCAGTGAGTTTCTTTTTATGGTTTGGGACTGCTTAAAGGAAGGAGCCCTGGAGGTACTGCTGGGTAAGTATTAAGATGGCTAACCATTAGGTTGTGAACCACAAGGTTGGTGGTTCAAATCCACCAGCTGTTCCATGTGAGATACAAGAGGCTATCTGCTCTCATAAAGATTTAAAAGCCTTTGAAACCTTATATAGACTTGCTATGCATCAGAGTCTATGTTTGATTTTCCTTAAAGGAGCCGAGTATATTAAACATTGGGTTGCTAGCCGCAGGCCAACAGTTCAAACCACCCAGACCCTCCCAGAGAAAAATGAGGCTGTCTGCTCCTGTAAAAAAGATTGTTTTACCCTGTCCCTTGGTTTAGAACAGGGTCACTATGAGTCAATATCGACTCAATGGCAGTGGTTTTGGTTTTCTTACTTGCTGGCACAGATTATATTTATAGGGAAGGTTATAATAAACATTACACTAATTTTATGTAATCTTAAACCACAGACGTAAAACTGCAAGCGTTAGTATTTCTTTTCTAGCACTTAGGTTCATCACTGAGTTAAAAAGGTCTCATACAATATAGGGGGCTCCTTTTAAACTTCTTGTGATGGAGAAACTACAGAATTTACAAACTGACTTTTATTTACCTACATAATATTTTAATCTGTATATCAACATGGTTTTGCCCTGTTATCTTGAGTGCAATCTCTCAGAACATCTTAGGATTTCGCTAATCCACACCTCAAGGTGCCTGAAAAATTCTTAGGCACCATCTGGTAGTAAAAGAGGACAGAGCAAGCTTTATCTCAACTGAAACTGCAAGAAGACTAAAGTGTTACAGTGCTTTGCAATACGGTTTCCAGAAATCAACTGTGATCAAAGCAAGAAATACTTATATTAAAATTTTACAAACTCCTAAAAAGCTGGAAGTTGGGTTTAACAGTTTATTATGATTTGTATCACTTTAAAAACACAGGTTCATTAAACCATGTAGAAATAATTCTGCAAAAGGCCTGTAAAACAAAACGTACTTTAAACACGCTAAGCGTAGACAGATGAGAGGAAATCCCAGATTGTTCAGTCATGTCTTTATTAGGCTATGGCAGCCAAGTAGTCCTTAACTTCAGTTGGAGTCAGTCTCCGAAATCCAGCTTCATTGCAGATTCCAACTTCTATGTTATCTTCTGTCATCTGTCCTTCAAAACTTTCCTAAGGAGAAAAGTAGAAAAGTCCTCAATTTCCCAAGCAGTTAGCAATAATGCCATTATAAAATCCAATGGCTAGGTATTGAACTAACCTTTAGGGTCAGGATAGCTGTATGGATGGCGTCTTCAAGTTCCAGGTCTTCATTATATCTAAAGAATTTTTAAACAAAAAGTGACCTTCTAGTTATGGCACTGCTGTATTTTTTGCGACTATTTAAGCACTGCTTGCAATAGCAAAGGATTCCGTTAAAAAAAAATCTAACTCTTTACACTGCTAAGTCAAGAATTAGTTCTTATAATCACTTCATTGAAATAAACAACAGTAAATACACTGTCCTCTCTAGTCGATGCCAATGCATAGCAATCTTTAGTTGTCCCAAAAAATAAGTGGAGCTTTACTGGGTATTCAACATAATGAAGAGTGTCATCACAAAATGAGTTTATTTTAGGAGACATCTTTCAATATTTAAAATCACAGCAGAGAAATTTGCCTTTTGCTAAAACTTTATCTGTATTTGGTAGGATCATTAATATATAAGCAGAAAAGGAGAAGTGTTTTAGGATACTAAAATTATTAAATTTTACCATTTCAAGATCAAGATTTTTAATAATTTTAACATTAACATTGCAAATCTGTGTGCTGAATCCCCACATGCTAAAGTTTTCATATCCCAAGGAGCACAGGGTCAGTGGTTACACATTGGGCTGTGATCTAAAAGGACAGCAATTCAAAACCACCAGGTGCTCCATGGCAGAAAGATGAGGTTTTCTACTGCTGTAGGTTAGTCTTGGAAACCCACCAGGGCAGCTCTTCTCTGTTCTATAGGGTTGCTATGAGTTGGCATCAACATGGATTAAGCCTCTGGTGAATTCCCTGACCAGTAATCTTTTGGACCCATTTTAAACTTGTTTTAGTTTTTAATATTTTCTGCTTTCCTGTCAATTGAGGTTTTTGTTTTACTTTGTTATTATTAGTCTTGTTATTTTTTCAAATGTTGTTCTGCATATGAAATCCACGATGGGTAAATCTATAGAAACAGTAACTGGATTAATGGTTTCTTGGGGTGAGGCTGAGGGGAAATAGGGAACTAAAACAATTAGTAGAAGACAAAAATGTTCTTAAAATTGTGGTAATAACTGTGTAAACAAACTATTGAATGAATTATATGATTTGGGAATTATATGCCAATAAAACTTAAAAAACTTTTTTCTTGCTGAACTTTTTCTCATGACTAAAAAAATTAATGCTTTTATTTTTTTGATAGTAGAAAAAAAAGTAGTTAAAAAGAAAGTTTTATTTTAGGAAAGAACCAAAAGATTTAGAAAGAGAGAGCCTTAAAAATTAAATAGCATCACCATTTACTATATTGAAGGAGAGAGTTAGTTCTTCTGTTTTACATGTAATTAGGTGTCAACACAAAGATTTGATAGAAAAAAAAAAAAGACGTTTAAGCCCATGGCATTAATTTAAAGGTGGCTAGACACCAGGAAAAGTGCCCCAATGTATCTCAGAATACCTTTTTTCCAGAAAGGTCTTCCCATTCACATAGTTCTTTCCCATTGCTGTGGCTTTCCAGGCAAAGTAAGCACCCTAGTCAGAAGGCAGGAGGACAACACTGTATTTATATTGCCTTACAACATATGCATATTAGCTCTACACTGACTCTCAGTTCTAAGACAAGACACTGGGATGGAACAGCATACGCATGACAGAACAGGCTACTTTTAATGAAGGTCAGAGTGACACATCAAAAGAGTACATGTAAGGTGACTTCTGGGGTTATGAAAACTATATATTGTGGTGACAATTTTCTCAGGGATGTACATCCATTGATGGGCATAAAAATTGTACATTTGAACTATGTACAATTTATTGTACAAAATTATGTCCAAAAAAAGTTAAAGGAAACTAAGGTTAACTTAAAACAAATAATCATGAGTAAGAGTTAAGATTAATAGAAATGAATGGATCTAAAAATGTGACCCTAGAGCTATCTGAAAAATGGCGAGCAATTGATCATCAATTAATATATCAATAAAAAGATGGCTTGTCTTTAAAAATATTCCAAGTTTTTTATATTTAATGTTAGAATGAAAGCGACTGTAGTTCACATGTATTAGCTGTGCCAGTTGTAAATCCATGTTTATAAAATATACTCTAAATTTACTAGGCATATTTTGAAAGAAGCAATTTCTTTTTAGCTCCAACAAAGGCCAAAAATGACAGAAGGATAGGGCAGGAGGAAAAGCCAGGAATCAGGGATGGTGGCTAATTCAACACAGGACAGGGCTTGCCAGAGCTTCAAAAGGCCGAAGAAGGGACAGCAGACACTGATGAAGCTTTCACATTAGTAGTTTTCACATTTAAGTACTGAACAGGGAAATTACTTTTCTCTTTCAGATTTAAAGTTAGACCATAAAGTTGAACGTGGATGAACCTGTAATTATGTAATGATCCATCAACACTTAATTTTGATCAGGTCTATTATGAAAGATCAATTCCTAATCCCGATTGCTTAAAGTTCTCTTCAAGGAAAATGAGACAGATGTGGAATATTACATACTTTATGAATGAATGCCTTCTAACTCTGACACTGATCTTCTGCTCTAGAGCAGATAACTCACCAAGACACTAGAGACATGCTTTCCAAAATGCTTAATCCAAGACCTCCACAATGCTTTTGTTGAAGGAGTCACACTATCAGGGTAGCTCCAAATTACTCAGAAGTTTACTAGTAATATTCTGCAAAGTAATACAATTCTACAGATGTAGAGATTTGCCAACAACAACTTCAACAACCCTTCCACTCAAGTATGTGACGTTAATGAACATGACAGAAAAACAGGGAAGGCAGAACTAACGTAGATTCCTTATCAGACTAAATTAAAAGTTTGAATTATTTTTCAAGTCCAAATGAAAAGGGAAAATACGGCTCAAGTTTAAACTATTATCTATTTTTATTAGATATTCACAAAGCACTTTAACAAACTCCTCAGCCACAGCGCATGATACTTACAGATGGATCTGACTGAAATAAATAAGGTCGTCCCTCATTCCAACCACAAATTAGTAAAGAAACTCCAAATGGCCGTACACCACTGAAGAAGAGACAATGAAAATTACTTGGCTTCTGGATTGTAATAAAATCCTAAAATAAGAATTCATTAGTACTCCAAAGCAAAGCAGATGTTGTGTACACTTGACTACACTTCTAAGTTTCCTGAAAATATAGGAATATATTTTCTAAACTTCTAAGTTTCCCGAAAATATCCTCTCGATATTTTTCTGAATAATGGTAAAATTAGGTGCTTCGGCTGATATTTGGGTCAGCTTATACTTGAGTATCTACGGTAAATGGTAAATACGTATTGAGGAGTAGCACTTAGTGTCTTAACAAAATGACAACTTTCAACTCAGGTGGCTTTTCCACTGGCTCCGTTCTGAGTCACCAACCACCTGTATAGCAGGTTAGGCCCATCCACACACCAACTTAGGAATGCTGAAATTAAATGAATATGTGTCAAAGCGTTGTTGCTCCTAAGCTCTCCTGCTAGGAAAGACATGGGTAAAAGCAGCAATCGTGTGTTCTTCGAGAACTGTCCTCGTCACTGGCAGAAGAAGTTCCTGTTTCTAGATGCTGTGCTCTCACTGTGCCGTGAAGAGGACGTTTTCCCCTCTTTAAAGAAAATATCCTCAATTTGGTTAAGATCAGAAGCTCTCGTCACAGGGACTTTCTCTACCTGTTACATAAATACTAATAGAGTAAGCATCTCCTACTCACATCTACTCTGAAAATGACTGTTTTGTTTTTTCAATTCACAATCCATGTCAAGAAATAAGAACTTACCCAGACTGGGTGTATTCTTGCATGACAGAAGCTACTCTTTGTACGAGCTGCGCTGTGGGAATAGGCTCTTGGTAAACCAGATAGTACTGCTGAGCTAACTTCCGAGCTCTGTGTACAAGTACTCTAACAAAGAAGAAAAGATTGAATTAAAGCACTTGATCTCACCGATCACCTCATTATCCTTATCTAATCAGAAACATAACAACACTGTGAAACATACTGCATTAATAATAGCTACTAGATAGCTAAAAACCACTCTCAGATTCCCGGATGTAACAGGAATAAGAACTACAGGCAGCTTTGATTACTATTTTGGGCAATGTACATCTATATTTTCCCCGTGAAAGGGAAAGAGAGAGATGACAGGAACATCTGAATCTTGATTGCCTGACATAGTCAGCAGCCTTTAGGAGCCTTTGAGGATTTTATTCCTCTGCGGAAGAACTATCCATCAAGCTGACAGGTGTTGCTTTTATCATCTTTAATGTGCCTGGCTGCTGCTGCTGCTGCTGCTGCTGCTGCTGCATGTCATCCAGATGATTCCAACGCAGAAGGATGCGACTGGACGGAGTACACCAGCCCCGCCGCTTTACCTAGGCTGTGAGGCAGAGCACCAGCGGAGCAGTGCCAAGTGTTCAGCTATGAACGAAAGATCTGATTCAAATGTGTCAACTGCTCCACAGGAGAAAGAGGTAGCAGTCTGCTATAGTAAAAAATTAGTTTTGGAAACTATGGGGGCAGCTCTACCCTATAATATCACTGGAAGTCGGCTCGGTGGCAGTGGAGTTAATCTCAATGGGAGCAGACTGCCCAATCTTTTCGCCCACAGAATGACTGGTTGGTTCAAAGCACTGAACTTTGTTAGCAGCAGAGCACTTAACCAATGCACCACCAAGATTTCTTTTAAAATAAGAGTTAAGAAATTAAAAGTATTTTTTGATTTTTATTTTCAAAGCAAAATCAACTCATGAAATGGTGACCAAAACAAGAGAGGATGGCATATGTACCTGTAATCTGGGCCCATGCCACTGTACACCAGGCCTATATGCTTGGTGATGGGTTCCACTTTGTGTACACTTCGCTCATCATACAGAATGGACTTCTGTTTCTTTTCCGTTGCTAATACCACACCATTTGCAGCTTAAAAAGACAACAATAAAAAGTTTAATCAAAGACTATGGTTCAACATTTTCTAACCATGGGTAGATTTCACCAAAACTCACTTATTTCCCCAGTTTGCAAAACCCTTTCTACTTGATTCCTGTATCTTAATCTTAACCTAAGATTAACCTAAGGCAGTGGTTCTCAACCTGTGGGTCGCGACCCCCTTGGAGGTCAAATGACCCTTTCACAGGGGTCACCCGATTCCTAACAGCAGCAAAATTACAGTTATGAAGTAGTAAAGAAAATACTTGTATAGTTGTGGGGCCACCACATGAGGAACTGTATTAAAGGGTCGCGGCACGAGGAAGGTTGAGAACCACTGACCTAAGGAATGGCAAATCATCTTTGCCCTCGCTTGTAAGAATGACCGAAAAAGAACAAAAACCCAACATATTAAGGTATGACGTAATGATAACATCTTGAGATGAAGTTCCATAATTAGTCCTTCCTAAACTATATGGAAATAAAAACTGTCATGTAGTAGTGATATAACAGTGAAAAACAAAGCCAAAGAAAAAGTTGGTTTCAATATATCAACTGCTCTGCACACTGTCACACCATTTACAAAGGGCTATATTTACTTTGGAAAAAAATATCTACTCGATCAACTTCTTAGGTCACTTACAATTTCGTTTAAAATTTAAAATACTGTAAATTAAATATGAAAAGAACTATTAAGATTTATGCTGCCATTATTTATACATGATTAATTAATTCCACAAAGGTATCAGACTACTAGCAAGCACCTGAAATGATGCATTTAATAAACTTACATTCTACAGTATCTGTGAATATCCAAAATGTAATTACCTTTAATTCCCACTGAAGGGGCTCCTCCTGCTACAGCAGCCAAGGCATATTCAATCTGGACAAGTTTACCAGATGGGCTGAAAACAAACATGAAAACCATCAAAGGTGGTGTCTAAATATACATACTCTCATGCATTTATTGTAGGAGTTTCTCTGAGAAAGGGCGGATGTGTAGGTCACAAAGGACAAGTGGGCCTTTGACAGCAGACACAGTTACTGAGTGATGTGAACACACTCATCAGTTTTCCTTTGGTTGCTTTCTCTCATGCCTGTGTTCAGCACCACTGTTTCTGCTTTTCACATGACTTATTAGTCTGGGGACTTGAGGCAAGCCTTATAACTTGTGCCGCAGTTTCTTCGTCTATAAGATGGGAATACTAAATAATCGTTACCTATTTCAAGTGTTGCATTGCCAATTAATGAAGCAACGGCTAAAAAAGCAGAACAGTCCGTGAAACAAAATTGGCACCAAATAAGCACTGAATTGTAATAGTATTCAGAGTGAATATGTGTCTGTCAAAAACAGTATACTTTATGTAGGAACTTATGTTTGAGAGAATGGACATGGCCTTCGATATAAGACCTGGACTATCATTCTCGATGAAGTATTTTCTGTCTGATAAACCATTGACAGGAGCCACAAGAAGGTTGTTCAAAATAGCTCATTTGATGGGGCCAAACACGAGTTCCAAGCTAGCCCATTTTGACCTAGCTGCTGAGTCAAAAGTATCGCAACCTAGCAAATGAATCTTCACAGATGCAGAAAAAATACTGTCCTCAATTAAAAGTACCTTACCCGGTCTGACGTAGCTAGGTCCCCATCTCCTCTCTAAGAGAGGATATTCCTGTGTTTTACTTTTATAAAATTATGGACACTACCTTTGTCACTTGGGTCTCATCTCACACCATCCCATCCATGCCCCAGAGATTACTCTTGAGATTTCAGAAGCCCATCTGACAAATGAATTCCTTGAACCAACACATTTTTCACTCTAGATCTAGTGAATCCTTCCTCAACCGAAATGTCACATTTCCGGGGACACTACTCCTGACTGCTCAGACAATGTTTAATTTCCACACACCTACACTTTGGATGTCCTATACTTATACTCTGGCTAAGATACAATTAGTTTTATATCAGTCTTCCTCAACAAAGCATACGCTCTATTCATTAGGATTTCAGCCGGTAACCTAGGATCAGAAATTTAATGATTTGGTTGATACACATACCCACATCTAAATCTCATAAGGAGTAAACCTAATTACTTCATTGACTTGAGCAGAACATTAGCAGACAGTTGTCACTCTGAGTCTGAATTCATTCACTAATATGAATAGTGAGTACCTGATCTAAATGTGTGTATGTGGTGTTGTATTTATATGCATACACACACACTCACTGACACTGAGTTGATTCTGATTCAGTTTTTCCCTAAGACAGGGTAGAACTGTCCCTGTGGCTTTCCAAGACTAACTTTTCAAAGGCGTCAGAAGTCTCATCCTTCTGTCATGGAGCGGCTAGTGGTGAATGGCTGACCCTGCAGTTCACAACCCAATGCAAAGTCACTACGGCCAGGGCTGGTGTCTCTGTATGGCTGCCCCAAAGACATGCCACTGTCCTATATGGTATATGATGCTTCCATCATAGGGTATGTGATAAATTATTGAGAAAACTAATGCAAAAATTAAAAAAGAAAATGACTACCCTTGCTTATTAAAAAATTTAAGAGGATGTTGTTTTAGGATTTTAAGAACCATCTAATGTAATGCAAAGTATATTAATTTTGTCATCAGAAAGAATGCAGTTTAAATGCTAACCCAACTACTCCTCAATGACCTCGGTCAAGTTATTTACTTTCCCTGGGCCATGGCCGCCTCCTCATCTGTAAAATGGTGAAGTAACAGTTACCAAACATAATTGTGGAAAGAGATTGAGTAAGTTAAGTTGCACTCATAGAGAGAGTACTTAATAAAAGGTAGGTCTTAGCTGACTTTTATTTAATACATGATTGGATTACAGTCCCATTTCAACAAATGAGCTTTCTTAAGAAAATGGTCAATCAGAATCCTTCCTTGATTATTTATTTTACCTTTCAGCAGGCTTCCTTACATTGGGAATGACTTACCTCAAATACACTTTGGAAAACATAATTAATACTTTAATCTCTTGTTCTATCCCTGAAGATCTTGCAATCATTTATAAAACCACCACCACCCCCGACCCCCCACTGCCTGGCCAACAAGAAAAACAGCCGACACGCACTAGGGGCCTAGAAATCTGGGGCCCACATAGCACTACGAAGGGTCTTCAAAAAGTCGGTGGAAAAACTTAATTAAACGATTATGGGACTTTTACACGAACTTTTAAAGCTCGCTCATACATGATAGAATGTGACATGCGATTTCATTTTTAATCCGTGTGCTTCTAACCAGGGCAACAAGAGAAACCGAAAGCTGCAGGTTTCCACAGACACGAGTGCCGAGCGGCGGCGGCGGATTCGAGCAAACATTGAACCTGAGGCTTTCTGCGGAAAAGATCTGACGACGAAGACCCCCGTTTCAGCCCCCCTTGAATCGGGCCGCCCTGGCTGGGTCAGGAGGGCAAGTCTGAGCTCTCCGAGACCCGGAGATGGCTAGTCCAAATCTGCCTTCCTCTCTGGTTTCCAAAGGAAGGAGAATCTATGACTGGGACCGGAGCCCCCCGCTTCCCCCCGCTAACCCCACACTCCCGCGACCCGCGTCCCTCGGCCTCGCCAAACAGCGGATTCCTGGGCCCGACCCGGTCAATGACTGTGCAAAGCGGCATTTCCATCTCCGTTCTCTACTGGATCACCCGAGAGCATCACGCCAAAGGGCCTCAGGGACGATATGGGGCCGCATGAGGGGCTCCTGCAACCGCAGCTACACGGAGGACTCGGGGCGCCTTTCCTACCTGAATGTAGTCAGCGAAAAGCTGTAGCCCCGTTCCGCCATCTTTACCCGGAGGTCCGCTGCACGACTACACACATGCGCAGTACTGCCTGTCGGGCTTCATTTTCCCCGCCCCGGGGTCGTTCCTTCCGCCCTCTGATTGGCGGAGAGGCGAGCCGCCGCGGGGCATGCTGGGCATTGTAGTTCTAGTGGTCCGTCCCTCAGGACTCCGCGTCAGTGCGCCTGCTCGAGGTAGGGTTGACCCCGGCAAGCCGTGGGGGAGGCCGCTTGGAGCTGGGAAGATGGCGTCGGCCATGCTGCTCTTGGTCGTTACTCCGTGGCCCGCGGCACGGGGACTCCTGCGAAACTGTTGGGAGCGGTTGCAGTGGAGCCTCCTGCGGAGTCGACCAGGCGTTCCGGGCCCTCCTTGGGGTAAGTGGAGAAAGTCGCAGTGGGAATTGGGCTTGAATCAGCGCGCCGTAGACGTAACTGATGCCGGGTGCCTTCACCCTGTGCTCTGATATGAGGCCCTGCCTAGGGGACATGCAGACATGCAGTCTCCTTCTCTCTCTCTCTCTCTGCCTAGGGGACATGATGCAGTCTCTCTCACTCTCTCTCTCTCTGACACACACACATGTTCTGATTGCCCCACGAGTGCACACAGAATGTAATTCCAGCTTATAACTTGGCGTCAAGGCCTGCTACGGTCAGGATCCTTCCTTTCCTGCGCTTAGAATGCACCCTCGATATGACAAAATAATAAATTATAAAATGTCAAAGGGTTCATGAGGGAGGAGGGAGCGGAGAGGGAGGGGAAAAATGAGGAGCTGATGCCAGGGCCTTAGGTAGAGAGCAAATGTTTTGAGAATGATGAGGGCAATGAATGTACAAATGTGCTTTACACAATTGATGTATGTATAGATTGTGATAAGAGATGTATGAGCCCCTAATAAAATGATTTTTTTTAAAAGAATGCACCCTCACCTCGTCTGTGGCGTTTGAGTTCCAAGGACGAAGCCTGGTTGCTGTATAATCAGCACCAGGAATTCATTTTAAATTTAAAATTCCAATTAAAATGAGTTCCTGGTGATTGATTGTACAGCAACCAGGTTTTGTCCTTGGAACTCAATCACCAGGAATTCATTTTAATTGGAAGTTTCTTGGATGTTACAATCGCCATAGCTTGGGTGTTTACATTTATTGGATCTGTGAAGGTATCCCACGTTTTCTAGCAAGCAGTATGATAAATAGCCAGTCCAACATAAGAGCCCACTATATTGTCAAGCAGTGTGTTAACGTTGTCGTTAATGGCAGGAGAGTTGATAGAGTCGCATGCATGCCGAATAGACTGGGTTTCCTGGACTGTTGACTTTGGAAGCACAGTGCCAACCCTTACAGCTAGTGATCCAGTGCTTATCGGCTGGTCACACTGCAGGATTGATGTGCTAATCAGTAAACCTTAACTCTTTGGATAATCCCCATGGGTCCCTCTTCTTTACAGTGACACTCAGAGAGGGCCCAAGATCACGCCCAGAGAAGCAGGCACTTGCGTGAATTCAAACAGCACCTGCTCTGATTAGTCCTACGTTCGCTGTTGTTAGAAGCCTTGAGTCCTTTCCAACTCATAGTGACCCCATGTGCCCGCTTCTTTGCCGTCCTCACAGTCGGTGACCCGCTTAGTCCACGGTTGCAGCCCTCTTCTCACGGGTGTTTGTCTTTCACTCAGTGTCTACCAAGCATGATGACCTTCTGAAGGGACTGGTCTTGGTCCTGATAACAAGTCCTCACCTCCAAGGAGCATCCTGGTTGGACTTCCTCCAGGATAGGCTTGTTTCTTCCATGGTGCTTTCAGTATTTATCGCCACTGCCCTAATCCAGAGGCGTCCAATCTCTGCCAGTCTTTCTAGTTCATCCGCCAGCTTTCACATGCACCCGAGGCGAATGGAAATACTATGGCTTGGGTCGGGTGCACCGTAGTCTTGAAGTGTATAGTGCATGAGGTGAGAAACTCGACAGAACTTCGTGTTTCATTTCAAGTCCCTCTGAAGAAACAGTTCAGTTTGAGGGTTGTGTGTGTGTGGTTGGTTGTTGTTTTTTTAATTCCCTTATGATCTCTTATTTAAGTCTAGTATGTCTTAATGGCTAAGTTTTCCTGTTAAGTCTTTTTTATTGACTATTACAGTTTCTAAATTATCTTTAATGTTATCCAGAGAGACCAGACCCTGGAAAAGGACATCACGCTTGGTAAAGTAGAAAGTCAGTGACAAAGAGGAGGCCCCTCAAGGACAGGGACTGATAGGGTAGCTGGCAAAGAGGTTTCCAGCCTAGCAGTTGTGAGGGTGGGCAGGACTGGGCAGTGTTTTGTTCTGTTCTGTTGTACATATGGTCACCCCAAGTTAGAACTAACTACGTGGCAGCTAACAACAGGTATATGTAATACGTGGGCATGCCCCCCCACCCCCCTCCGGCACTGGTTGTTAAATAGCCATTTAAAAGCTAGAAATGGATTCTGTAACTCTATGTTTTATTTTTTAGCACCAGCATTAGCAGCCCCGAGCCCGGCTGTATTTGCAGAACCGGCAAATGATTACAGTGGAAGTAAGGACATTTCTAGCCTCTTGGATAGTATCTTTTGGATGGCAGCTCCTAAAAATAGGCGCTCTATTGAAGTGAACCGATGTAGGAGAAGAAACCCTCAGAAGCTTATTAAAGTGAAGGTAATGTGGCCATTGTTGTGGGTCTACTTCTGTCCAGGCCCACCAGTGGACGTGCTGATGGGATAGCCACCTAGCTTATAAATTGTTCTCTGATTCTATATATTTATTGGCTTTTGACCTAAGAAAAAAAGAATAAAAAATACTCTCAGATTATGTATATAATCTGCCTTCCCGCCTAAATATTAAGACATAGTCAAGGAACTAGTTTGGAGATGGGACAGAATATTCAGTTATGAAGTGCTTGGGCAGCTTTGGACGTGTGAGCTACGACAGTCTTGAGCCCTGTGATTTTGAACTGCGTAAGGGTAGACATTAACTATGGCAGCATTGAAAGTTAATAAGTATATTTAATTGTATTATTGTGTACATTATACTATAATACTGATTTAATATTTCATATGTTTTATTTGACATATCTACTTAAAATGCTGTGAAGAAACTCCTCACTAAACATTGAGTTGATTCTAATTCCTTGTGACCCTATAGCACAAAGTAGAACTGCTTCCTGAGCTTTCTTAGGCTGTAAATCTTTACAGAAGGAGGGAGCCTTATTTTTCTCCCACTAAGTGGCAGGTGGGTTCAAACTGCAGTTAGTAGGCTAACATGTAACCAACAATGCCACCAGGGCTTCTTAAGGTACTCCTTAGGTATGTAATAAAGAGTAGCTAATTTCCCTAAAATGTACCTAAGTAGTGCATTTTGTTTTACCAAATCTTCATAATAACCCTCCAAAGTAAATAACATTTTCCTAACTTTTAGGCTGGATAAATTACGGTAAAAAAAAATTATTTACCTGTGGTCACTCAGCTATTAGTGGTAGAGCCAGAATGTATCCTCTGGCTGTTTGCCTCTTGAGCCCCCTTTCTCTTGACTCTGTCCCTGTGTGTTCCTGCTCCCAGACAAGTCCATTCTGCCCACATGGATGCACTCTCCTCATTGGTCTAGTGCGCACAAATTAAAGTGCGTACTTGATCAGTTCATGGCCTTAACAGTTAGCCTTTCAATTACTGTTGACTTCCTTGTATTCCACAGCAGCTGTGCTCTTTTATAAAGCTGATTGCAACAACCCACATTCATTGCCATGGAGCTAGCTCCAGCTCACAGTGTGCCTCCATGTGGTAGCTAGGGTTGTCCTGGCTAATCTTTCTTTTAGAGTCTCAGGTCAGACTTTTTCCCACAAGCCCCCTGGGTGAGTCTGAACCAGAGTCATTTGGTTTGTGGTCTAGTGCAAACCATGCACGCCACCCGACTGCCTATAGGTTGGGATAGGCATGTATAAAAACTCATTAAAATTTCCTCAGATGTAATATGATCAATGACTTTAAGCTGTTAACAAAAGAATTATGCCATATAACTGACTTATATTTCTACAGGCATTTGAAAGGGGCTGTGATGAAGCAGGGTAAGATTGATTGAAAGAAAAGGGGCAGAGCGGGGAATTCTTTCCCTTAGTCTCTTCTTGAAATTGTTGGTGTCTGGAGCCTTTTGTTGTGTTAGGACGCTCCTTACTAGAATTTAATTTGGGATTCAGTGAGCCCTGGTTGTCCAGTGTTCACCTGCTAATGAAGAGGTCAGCAGCTGGAGGGGTAAAGATGTAGCAGTCTGCTTCTGTAAAGATTTACAGCCACAGAAATCCAATGGGGGTAATTCTACTCTGTCTTTAGGGTGTCAGAATCAACTCAATGGCAATGTTTTTTGTGGTTGTTTTTAATTGGGATTAAGAGGAATATATGATCTTTCAGCATAAATATCACTGCTGTGTGTAATTAAAAACATAATAGACTTGAATCCTAGTGCTGATCTTTCTAACGGAAACTCAATGATGCTTGTCCTGTTTCTCTATTTAAAAACTAGATGGGGCAGGAAATCATGCAACCCAACACTATGAGAGAGGGACAATGTAAGTCAAATTTTAGTTGTGCTGTAGAATGCGCCTTGTTAAAATCTCTTTTACTTGTTTTTTTTGTAGTATAATATAGACGTTTGTCCTGAGTGTGGCCATCTGAAACAGAAGCACGTCCTTTGTGGCTATTGCTATGAGAAGGTGCGCAAGGAGACGGCAGAAATCAGAAGACAGATGGGGAAAGCCGAAGGGGGCCCTTTTAAGGCCCCTACTGTAGAGACAACGGTTCTGTACTCGGGGGAGACGCCGGGGGAACAAGACCAGGGCAAGAGGATCATTGAGCGGGACAGAAAGAGACCATCCTGGTTCACCCAGAATTGACGCAACAAGTGTTTAAAGAGGATAACTTCACATAGTAAAACATTGCTCCTGCAAGAAGATGCTTTGTTCTTATGTTACAAATCATCAATATAATTGAAATCATTCTTTACAAGGAATTAGTTTTGTGTGGATTAATTTCAAGAATATATCATGAATAAACTATGTTGGTATACAGTTTATACACTCCACGGCTTTGAGAAAGCAAAACTTTGCGAACACAAAAACAATTGAAAGTTTGTAGCAGTATTGTTAGTTTTTGCTCTGGTTTCTGTTTGTCTGATTTTCCTTACACAAGTCTACGCAAACAACACCTACTAAAAACGTGGTGTTTGAATTCTCAGTACTATTTTCCGCGGTGGTCGTTGTGCTGGAGGAGATCGGATGAAGCCCCATCACTCTTCTGCCACCGTGGAGCATTTAGTCTTGCATTTAGTTTTGTTTTAGACAGTTAAAATTACCTAGTGTATCTGTCATGTTATTTTTTTACATGTATGATTCTATGACAGTTATGCTCAGCATGCACTTCATATGTAATTGCTATGTTAATATCCTTAGGTGGTAGAAATAGCTCTACATTTCAAGAAACCAGGATGTATTAAATGATTCATGAGATATAAGAAGATACGAGTAAATTCAGTAGTACACAAAAGCTGTGCTAAGAATGTCTTTACATTTTCCTTCCTATATATAGGTATATAGGAATATCTACACGTGTGTGGTACATGCATATACATGTATAGGAATATGCATACATACCATCCATATATGTGTGTATATACCTATATACAGATGTGTAGGAAGGAAAATATATATTATTAGCTGTCTACTCACTGCAACCCTTTGTATAACAGAACCAAATGCTGCCGGGTCCTGTGCCATCACGGTTGCTTGCTCTTGTTTGGGCCCAGGTGTCGGCCCATCTTCCTGAGCTCCTTCCTCTGATGTGTGCCCCTACCAAGCATGGTGGCCTTTAGGGACTCTCATGGCATGTCCAAGTGATGTGAGAGATGCTCACTGTCCTTGCCGCTAAGGAACATGCTGGCCATATTCCAGGACCAATCTTTAGACAATCTGGTTTTTGGTTGGTTCTTTTGGCATTCTGGTAATTCCAATATTCCTTGCCAGTACCACAATTCAAATGTATCAATTCTTCATTCTTATTTAATGTCCAATTTTCACACGAATAGGAGACTTGAAAATACTATGCCTTGGCACCATAGTCCTAAAAGTAACATCCTGGCTTTTCAGCACTTTAAAGAAGTCTTGTGCAGCAGATGGACCCCATGCAGTTAGCACATGGGCTCCAAGTCTTTGTTTTCAGCAAGCAAGATTGGGTTGTCTGCATATCACAGGTTGTTAATAAGCCTTCCTTCAATCTGATGCCACTGTTGTTTATATAATCCAGCTTCTCTGATTATTTGCTCTGCATATCCTTTGAATATGGTGAGAATACAATCTTTTCACATACTTTTTGAGTTTAAACCCTGCAGCATGCCTTTGTTCTGTTCACAAGATCCTCTTGATCCATGTCTTAAGTTACACATGAGCTCAATTAAGTGTTCTGAAATTCCCATTCTTAAGGCTATCCATAAGATTCACACAGTTGAATACCTTAGCATAGTCAATAAAATACAAGTAAACATCTTTCTGGTAATTTCTGCTTTCAGCCTAGGTCCATCTAACATCAGCAATTAAATCCCTTAGTCCACGTCCTGAATCCAGCCTGAACCTGCAGCTCCCTATCAATGTACTGCTGCAACCATTGTATGATCATCAAAATCTTGCTTGCATGGGATGTCTGATATGGTTCCATAATTTGAGCATTCTATAGGGTCACCTCTGTTTGCAACGGGTACAAATACGGATCTCTTCCCGTCAGTTGTCCAGGTAGCTGTCTTCCACATTTCCTGGCACAGATGAGTTTTCAGTGCTTCATCAGCTTGTTGAAACATTTCGATTTGCGTTCCATCAATTCCTGGACACTTGTTTTCGGCTAACAATGCTTTCAGTGCAAGTTAAATTTCCTCCAGTACCATTGCTTCTAACTCATGTGCTACCTTCTGAAATTGGTAAATTACTGACTTTTTTTTTTGTACAGTGACTAATTTCCATTTTTGATGCTTTCTGCGTCATTCAAAATTTTTACTATAGCTAGAATCCTCAAATATTGTAACTTGAGGCTTGAAATTTTTCTCGGTTGCTTTCAAATTCAGGTATGCTGTACTCTTTGGGTTTTCTAATTGTAGGGCTGCACGTTTCATTATACTACTTCTAAAATGGCTTGTGTTATCCTTTAGTGTTTTTATGTCTTTATGACAATAGCTTCCTTAACTCCCTGCTACTAATTTCATGTTCCGTTTTCATCATCCCCCTGTTCATCCTGAACTCAGGATTTATTGTTTCCTGCCAAGGCTACTACCACAGTGTACTACACTACGTACCTATGAGCACATACCTGCCCCTTAGACCAGTGGTTCTCAACCTTCCTAATGCCTCAACTCTTTAATACGGGTCCTCATGTTGTGGTGACCCCCAACCATAAAATTATCTTCGTTGCTACTTCATAACTAATTTTTCAGGTGACCCCTGTGAAAGGGTCATTTGACCCCCAGGTTGAAAACTGCTGCCTTAGACTGGAGATTATAACCAGACTTGGCAGATAAGGACAATCTCTAGTCATGTGGGTTAGAAGTCAGGCTGCTGCTGTTCACCACAAGGTCAGCAGTTCGAACCCACCAGCCGTTCCGAGGGAGTCATGGAAATCCACAGGGGCAGGCCCACTCTGCCCTCTAGAACCCCTGTGAGTCCCAATCACTCGGTGGCAGTGAGTTTGGATTTGGGGAGCTGTGTTGACCACTTTGTCAGTATGCATCTCTTCTCCCACTGTCTTCGCTTGGTTTCACTAGTCAGTTTTCTCTTGCTGTTTCCCTCCCACTTGCTGTTCCAGTCCGCCCTGCTCTATGCTCCTCTTTTTCCCACCTCTGAAAACTCAGAGTACCCCAGGATTCCATCCTTGGAATGCTTTTTACTCACCTTGGTGATTTCATCCAGTCTACTGACTAAATACTAACTAGATAGCGATGCCTTCCAGTTTGGTATTTCCGACATGGCCTCTCTGAACTCCAAACTCAGCTTCAACTGCCTGCTCTGCACCTCCACTTGACTTTCTTAACAAGTGACCAGTCTTCAGGTACTAGCTTCTCTTGCAGTCCTGCTGATTTCCTCAGCCGCCTCCATCTCATTTGAAAGCAAGTCCACTCTAGTGTCTCTGTCCCAAACAACCTTTGTCCTTCCTCCCCATCCAACACCAAATATGCAAGTCCCATGGTTCCACAGTTTATTCCAGAATCTTGACTGGGGATCACTAACCACCCTGCTACCTCCTGAGCAGAATCCCCGACATCTTGCCTAGAATAACAAACCGCCCCACACATCGGTCTCTTTGCTTCTTCTAGCTTGGCCTCCTATGTACAGTCCACTCTCCAGGCAGTAGCCAGAATTCTTGAACACAAAGCATTTCTCCACTCACAACCTGAGTGAAAGATGCAGACACATGAAGATACATTCACAGTTCGCGAATGCTGACAAGTCCATCCCACCTTAGCAACCCCCTGTGTAATAGAGCGCAAGGGCCCCATAGGATTTCTTGGCTGTAATCTATGGAAAGGAATCTGGTGGTGTGGGGTAGATGGTGGGTGCTAACTGCAGAGTCAGCAGTTTGAAACCACCTAGGTTTTCTGCTCCGGTAAAATGTACGCCCTCAGAAACCTACAAGGGCAGTCCTACTCTGTCCCTAGCGTTGCTATGGGTCGGAATTGACTGGATGGTTGTGAGTTTTGTTGTTTTTAAATCTTTATGGAAGCAGATCCCAGCGCGCCTGTGATGCTGCCTATTGTGTTTAAAAGCCAACCTTCCATTTACCAGCCAAGTGCAAACCATTTTTACCACCCCTAATTAGCCAGTGGCCATCGTGTTAATGCCCACGTACGGTGGTTCATGTGTGTCAGTGGGCATTAACTCCATAGGATTTTCAATGGCAGACTTTTTGGGAAGTAGATCACCAGGCCTTTCTTCCAAGTGACCTCATGCATGTTATTAGCAACTGAGAATGTTAACCATTAGGGAACTGGAAGATAATGAAGTCCCTTCATATATATATGTATGCATTGTATATGTTCATAAAAACCAGAAACCAAACTCGCCACCTTTGAGTGGCTTCTGACTCATAGCGACCCTATAGGACAGGGAAGAGCTGCCCCTGTGGATTTCCAAGACGGTCTCTGTAGAAGAATAGAAAGCCTCGCCTTTCTGTCGTGGAGCGGCTGGTGTTTTCAAACTGTTTACCTCCCAGGAGCCCAACACATGACCACGCTGCCACCAGAGACCCACATATACTTGTATACTATAACTATATTGCTTATGACTAATTAGCTTTGGTAAATCAGAAATATTGGAGGTGTACTATATAGGTCTCCGTGAACAGAATCAACTCTGGCAAGAAACAAGTACACAGATGATTCTCCAGTCCCTGAGTGCTGCCAAAGTAGTCCCATTACTTACAGAAAGATTGAGGTGTGAACCTTCCCAGAGGTGCCTTGAATGGGAGGCCTGGCACTCTGCCTCTAAAAGGAGCCCCACAGAGAGCAGTTCTATTTGTCATGCATGGGGTCACCGGGAAACGTCAGAAACTCATGATTGTGTCGCCAAGTAAACCCTGATTTGAGGATTGCTTTAACACCCAGAGAACTGTTTTCTATCCCTGGCCCCACCCTCCCATATGCAATTGTAATATTTCAGGGACAGGATTCCTGCAAAATACTTTAACATGTGCTGAGAAACGCCACGGTTTGTGAGTAACATTTCTTTTCCTGGCACACATGCAAAAATAGGTGGTGTTGTGCAGAGTTGATCTGGTCGTTTCCACACACTCCCAGCTCACAGTCATCAGGTCAGTTCTGGTGCAGAGGAACCCATGGGGCAGAGTGGAACTGCCCCTCTTGGTTTCTGAGATTGTAACTCCTTAAAGCCTCATCTTTCTTCAGAGGAGCAGCTCGTGGTTTTGAACTGCTGGCCTTGCTGTTAACAGCCCATCAGTAGCCACGACACCAGGAGGGCTCCTTCTAGATCAGGTAATAGCATTTAAAATTTTTTTGCTTCTGTGACAGAATGCCTGTTTGTCAAATTAATACGAGGGGGCTTCAAGAAGTTCATGGAAAGACTCCTTTATCCTGTAGCTCCATTTTTCCATGAGGTTTTTGAAACTGGCTCTTTCAGCAAAATGCAGTAAGTAACAGCACAGCTGTGAGCAGCCTAGGAGGACCTTCCCACCTAAGGCAGCGAAGAGCATGCCCCGGGTGGCTAATGAGGACACGCTGGGCCATTCTTCACCGGGCCCTTTTTTTTTAACCTCACTGAAAATATTTTGCAGAGTTCCCGTCATTCTTCCTAGCCCCTGTGCCTCCCCATCTGTGAAGTACCTAATGGAAGGTTGGGGTTGCAATTGGAGCAAAGAAAGGAGAAAAGCCAGCAGGCCGAGATGCCCTGGTTTCCTCTCCCTCCACCCCGTTATTTAAGCTCCGTGCAGAGTGCCAGTGAAGCCTTGGAACCAGTATCTGGG